TTAGAGAGAAATTCCATTAGAATGTGTAAAAACATGGAATACTATGATGATACAGCTATTACTCTACAAATTATATTGATGCTGTCAGTGCAAAATTGGAGCAGTGGCGATCCACATTCTTCAAGCGATCCTTTAACAGGAAGTAATAGGGACATCGATTCTTTTGGATAAACACACACAAATTATTACTTTATTAAATGAAAGGTTATTAACAATTAGTAATTAATGCATTTTTTCTTTCAAAATCCGAAAAAAAAATACTCTCGACTTTCAGGACCAAACAATCCTTCGTACGCCTTCCTTCAAAGGGGGAGAATAGCCCGCTGTCCCATTTTGTCAACTTACTGCATCTAAGCTAGAAGAAGCCTCTGAGCTAAATTCAAATCGCACGTTTCGTTGCCCGAGTGATACTTTTTTTCGCTGCTAGATGGCGAAAGGAGTGCAATGAAATTTGCGTGGCCAGACGGAAGAGCAGTTCAGATGTCACGAGACAAGTCCGGTGAAGTTAGGTATCAATGAATTGAAATTCAGCTTCCCAATCCAAAGGCTCTCCTAGTTACATCGAGCGATTCGGAGTCGTCGCCCCCGAACTCCGAGGCGGGCATCCCAGAAGACGCATGGCAAGGAGCCTGAGCAGGTGGGGACGACGAGACGGGAGGGTCCGCGCGTGCCAACTCGCTTATTGATTGGCCCAGCGCGGGGGCGGGCGTCGCATTCGAGGCACCAGCGGTCACGCCTCCGCCTCCGCCACGCACGCCAACCCCGGGGCCTCGCCGGCCCTTTCCCTCCCACGGCTCCATACACCTCTGCCCCGTGCGACGGTGTGGCCTGCCCGGGTGGCTCTCGGCCCTTCACAGAAAGCGAATAAAAATAAAACATTGACGCTGATTTGTTCATTTTTACTTTCTCACAGGCTACTTACGTATAAAGTTACGCAATACTGCAGTGAAAAAATGGCTACATTCTGGCAGAAAAAGGCGTTTTCTGGGTTGCTGATACCGAAAAAGTACGCCATTCTTCTTCCTATATATAGAAACTAACGCCTAAAGTAAATATTAAAACAGAAACTCACACGATAATTATACCTCGGAAATGGACAATGATGCGGCTCCGTTTATACACCATGCAGTGTGTTTCTAACTGCAATCAGTATCGATGATCAGTAATTAAAAAAAGGTGCCAATACAGTTCGCCGCTCGTTGTTTATTGCAGCGCAGTGCGGAAAGAGCGCGACCCGGCGCTGGGCCCCGCCATGCGGAAATAATGGAGTCGGCAGATTGGCGCTCCATTCACAAATGCTCGCATGCAACGTGTTTGTCTCGCCCGTCATTTCCACAAAAGTATTTTCTTGCTGCTCTTTTGGTATAAAATTCTCAAAGAGAAGATCATAAGAATAAGAGTTTTAATTTAGCGGATGGAGGTTTGAACACACGTCAAATTGATAAGCGCATTTCACAAAATAAATTCACAAAATAAAGCGAAATGCGAATTCCCGTTTATGAACATTGACAAATATTTGGTACGCTCACGGAGTTTGCGCTCGCAATTTTACATGTGCAACAAACGTTTACGTTTGTTTAACTGTCAACGGTATGAAAAATAAATAAATCTCGTATCCAGGAACGTACTTTGGAAAGAACCGATAACACTCTTCACAGATGTTTCGAATAACTTCACAGCTATTTGAACCACGCCGAGAAAATACGCCTGGTTTGCTTCCATTGAGAGTACTTCTGATTTGATTCAACTTCACAAAAAGTACTCGATGTAAACAGTTCTAATGGTCTAAATAAATATAAACCCACATTTCATAATGACAATTACTTTTATTACTAACGTAATACACCTAATAACGATTTTAGTGAAAGCGGTGCCTCGCGTGTATTCGCCTTCTAGGACTCCGACACCAGGCAACAAATTCAGTACAATCGGTTTTTCTTCAGGTTCAGCTACTATGTCCCTTGTTAAAATATAAAATTATAAAATGAACACTTGTTTTCCTCTGATCTTATAGTTAATCAATAGACATGATGCACGTTTCACAGAAATAGGCTAATTATGATATGAATTTAAAAAACACATGAAAATAACGTGCCAGACTATTTAACACGGTAATAACTCTCACTGAATCGTAAGTGGGTTCTGTCTGTATGTTTGTAATAATATTCACGAGGTCTCGAAATACGAAGCTTGCATACAGATTGAACGGCAAAGAACAAACAATTTTTAATCTATTATCAAGTCACAAGATGATGCCATTGCAAACAAATAAGGCGACTTCCAGAAATGTCAAAATTTGGACAAGGTTTTAGTTCACTTTAAGCTTTTTTTGACTTTGCGTTAACTCCAACTCCAGAACGCGCGAATGTAAGGAGTTCTCGTCACGTGACCTCTGGGTAGAGACTTGCGCGAAAAAATTACATATGCGCAGCTGTTACATTATTGCTCAGTACACAAAACAATAAAAGCTAAAGAGGGCCAGAAAATAAACGAAAGGGGATTGATGCAACGAATTAGAAACGGTAAATCATATACGGCATTTTGAAACGTGCGTCACTAAAACATTACACTTTGGTGGAAACACAAAACACTACGAACGTACGCTCATGTCAAGATGAAAATTCGTTTAATATACCGCTGCTTTGCTGTTGATCTTAACATATGTCCATTTAGCTGTCGTTCATAATATACGATTTTCGCCTCGTTTGGCAACCAACTTCATCATTAACTGCTCGTTCATGTCCCGCAAGATGGAACGTGTGAGAGAGATCGACACACCAACACGAGACACAAAGCCCGAGAAAGTCGATAAGAGAAGAGCTTACATAAAGTTAACGAGTCAACAGAGCCAACTTGCCTTCCCAGACCGAAACCTTCCACCATTGCAGTGGGCGAGAATCGCTCGCCGTTTGTTTGAGCTCCACACATCCGTTAAATGCCATTTCCTATCGCAATATTTCTCGGAGAGACTGTTAAGACTTCTAAGACAGAGATGATTTTCTTAAATTCGCAGATATTGTCAGAATCAGATCCAAGTAAATTAATGAAGCAATTAATTCTTTGCGACGGAAATATTTTGCGCCAAAACAAATTGTTTCTCAAAAATGAAATCTACAACCAAAACAACATAGTTATAACAAAAAAGACAATTAATTTACACGTTTTTCGAAGAGGAGGTATATCTTGAGAATAACGTAACTGTAATGTAATAACATTAACTTATTTGCTGACCATCTCTTCATAACTTCCTAAAAAAACTGGTGCTTCAACAACACAAGCTAGGAGGAAAAATTAAGTTTTTGAAAACAAAATAATAGTTTACAAATTGCCTATATTTAAAGAAAAATTACGCGAAAACTACTCATTTTTCGAAAAATTTGACCTGACTTTCTTTCAGGATCTGTCTGTGAACAACAAATTTCATTAAGGAAAAAAGTCTATCTTCAATTTTGTAGTTGGAGGATGACGCCCAATTTTTTTTTGACTCGTGCAATTTTGAAAATTTAGATACGTCAGCGAAAATATTAAGAGTTTTCAACGAAAATACTGGGTACACTACTTTTAAACATGGAAGGATAATTCCCTCGAGATCTCATCAATCTTGTTTGCCTTCACTCTATGCTTTCGGAACTTCGACAGATGGAAAGCTTGGGAAAGATCTCTGAAAAAGAGAAGTAGCGCGGTCACACCCTGAAAAGCCTCGTTTATAGTATCCTTGCTAGTGAGTTTAAACGCCGCCTTGCGTTGTCAAGAGTAAATTTTTGGGTCGCCGAGCGCCCGGGCCTCTGGACCGCTCGGCGACGAGTCGGGAGTGGCAAGTTGGCGTGGAGTCGCCGCGACGAACTTTCCTTTCCCGGCCGGCGACGGGCACTGGAAACGCACAGCCTCCCACACTTTCTACGCCCGGTTGCTTTAGAGGCACAATTTACGCAACGGCTAATGGAAAGAACCAGGGACCCATTGCTAACAAGCTACAGAGGCATGTTCAACAGAAAATACCGTATATAAAAAGAAAATATCGAAGAATGTTCGTCCTCGGCCACCCCCCTCCCTATCACTTGTTCGCATATTTCTTTCTCTTCCAGACTTTCATATATGACTTCGTGGATTTATTACGAATAAAATAAGTATTTCACCTTCCCCCCTCCCTTTATAATTGAGATTTTAATTTCCATGTTACATGGGTCAAGAATGACTCCGGGTATACGCTATTATTTTCTTATTCTCCACTGGAACCATTCGTCAAAACGATGTCGAGGCACATTTTCCAATGGCTTCACATTAATTTCTCTGTGACATAGCATAACAAGTAAAAACCATTGCTCTTGAACATCGCAGAGAACTTCGCTCGCCCTATCTAGCGGCGGTTGCTTGAGGCGCGTGGAAACAACCAGTCGAGAGGCCACTGGCGGACACGCCGCGGACCACGCGCTCTTTTCTTCAACTGTCACTTTAGCTCAGAAACGAAAATTACATTCACACTCAGAAATATACAGGCGGATTCATAATTCGAATAGATATTTAATCAACGAGCAGCATGGACTGCTGGAAAAAAAAATGCAGAATTTCCACCTGCTGCTTCAGGAGTCTATCCATAATGCACAAATGAACATGAAAGGAAATTATCAATTTGTAAAGAGGATAATTTGAAATTGTGTCCAGATTTAACAAATTAAACTCACACCTGATTTCTTCAGTATCTTAGATAATCAATTTCTGCATCTAATAGAAATGCTCACATGGACTCAGATCAACTCACATGGACAGCTGCAATTTCAATAAATTACTGTACAAATTTGGTGAAGAGACCCATCACTGGCTCATCACATATGAATTTTGATTTCAAACATTCCTCTCTCCCTTACATAATTATTTAACAGAACATTGATCTTGTCATTGACAACATGATCAATTTCTTTGAACATGGTGACAGCTGTTGGACTAGTTGTAGCTGATGTCTCTACCCTACAATGCCAAAAAATTTAGACGTGCTCGCTTACCTGTTCAAAACCACCCAGGATCTCGGTAGTATCCATTGCAGAATTAACAGCCATCACTCGCAATTCACGTCCAGCCAGCTGAGACAGCAAATGAACAAGGCATGTCTTTCCACTGCCAGAGGGGCCCACCTTTAATTTGAAACATTATTCAGTACCATTAGCTCACATTGACACAACGAAAGGCCATTTTATAATATATTATGTCACCTACAGACATATAATAAGCACTTACAATAATAGACATCCAATTCATATTAACACAGCGTGCCAGTGATCTAAGGGCTGGATATTGTTGGCGCAATAACAGGAGGCTTTTTTCAGGAGATACAGGGCAAGGGGCAGATAACACATCAGGGTATATACGTGGGAGAATCTCATCTCCCAGATACACTGCCTCTTGAGTAACGTGTACATTAGGAACGTCACAACTCAAAGGATACTCTGAACCAAATTCTTCACGATATATTTCTTTCACCTGAAGAAAAGAAATCAAACCATTAAAATAAAATGTATGCATCTACATTAGAACTACTATTAACACCTTAAAAATACTAAATGTAGTGGAATCTTGTTAGCACATTTTTTCTTAAATTACTCATTTAATAACAGTTATCACTTTCACAAAATTTTGTTAGTGATTATGTCTATCTGTCACCTATTTTTACATATCTATCACAAAAACTTTCATGTAGTTTACACACGCATGTTTCTTCTGGCAGGTGGTAGGTTTTCTTTTAACAGATTCAGAGGTGGAAGCCATGTGCAGTGAAACAATGCATAATGCTTTTATTAAATTTGTTAATAATATATTTATATATTAATATATAAATACATTATATAATGTATATAAATACAAATACATATATATAACTTCATTAAAATATAATAATATGTATTTATGAAAATACTCATTAAATAATCCTGAGTAGCATGCTCAATGTTGGTAAAGTGTGCGTATTGTTCTGTTATTTATGTATCTGTTAGTTTCATTACCCTATTTATAATGTTCTGAAGAAGGAAATGTGAAAAGTAGAAATTGTAGCATTTTCCCATCATTTTTTCCCACTTAAATGTTCAAAATTTGCAGCCTTATGAAAACATGCTAATAAGATTCCTCTTACAACAATTTGCACACATTGTCCACAAATACCTGGATCCACTCCTCTCAACAATTACAAAAGGCAATTGCAAGTTTTATTCTATACAAATATGCTTCAAATACTCCAATATCAATACAAGACTTCTATTTTTACCTTTTCCTTGTCCTCGAAAGTTCTCATTCGGTCAACATAGATAAGATCTACAAATTGGCCTGGATTCAGGTTACAGTTTGTTTCAGAAGTATCATCAAAATCAATGTCCATATCTGATTCTTTAGGAGTACAATGCCGAGTCATGGCCTGGCACCATCGAGTCAGATCACGTAAATTCAGTTCCCAAGGACCACCTCGTAATCCCCATAAGTGAAGTTCAGTAGTTTCACGATGTAGTCTTCCATTAAACTGAACCATTTTTTTAACCAATAGTGAAGGCACCATTGGATATAAAGAGCAAATAATAAACTCTAAATCTTGATCAGACAGTGCATCAATGTACACCTATAAATAACAAAATGGATCAATAAGTCACAGCAAATATTTACACAATTGCTAAGTATATTCTAAATAATTAAATACCATTTTAAGAAACCATCAACACAAAACCCAGATTAGGAGTGCTTTTGTTCGATAGGAAAAGCTATGCTTCAAAACTGAAAAGTTTAGAATTTTGATGTGAAGACAAACAACATTGAACAACAAACTGAAGATTAAAAATCCTGAAAATCTTCAATGGATATTCAAATAAGACTAATCTTTTTTATTTATAAGACATTTATTTTCTTACCAATTACCTTGCAAATTATTTCACAATTTAAAGTTCTTTAAAAAAAACTTGTCAAAAGAAATATTATTATTTTTTTTATCTCAAAATAATTCATTACTACTTACTACATTACCTTATATTACCCTACTGTTTTTATAAGGATGAAAATAGTCAAATTCTCACCTGAGTAAAACGATTGAGAAAGGACTGTGGAAGACCTCTGCGAGCTCCACCCTGTCGGAGAGGATTCTGGGCTCCAAATAAGTGAGTTCGCCCTGGTTTCACTTGAAATGAACGATCAAGTTCTGGAATGAACACCTCTCCACGATGATCCAGACATGCATTAAGACCTTCCAGTACAGACTGTGATGCCAGATTCAGCTGAAAAGTATTAATGGAAGATGTGGTAATAAAAGAGTTTAGAAACACAAGCTAATTCAAAAATAGTCCTAATTTTTTTTTTTCACCTCATCCAGGAGAATCCAGTCCCCAGCTTTCAGCGCTCTAAGTAAAGGCCCATCCCTCCAGGCAAACTGCCCTCCCTGGCCTCCTTCCACTGGCAGATCAGCTCCAAATAAATCTGATATATCCTACAAAATAAGACGTTAGCACTCTGTTATCATTAGAATTCCAACTGCATCCCATTCCCCATAAATCCGAATCTGTATGAATCACAGACAATGGAAAAACCATGTTCTGAAAGTGCAAATAAAATCCAAAGAGAACTCCAACACTAATGGCATGTAAAATAACAATAAAACTATATAAAAATGTTACCATTTTTATTCGCTACTTGATGTAAAAGGATTATACCCATAAGCAGGTTCAAAACAGGCTGTTTAAAATACAGGCATTTTCCAGAAAATAGAACATTAACTTATGTTACAAGAAAATGGTGAAGTAATTAATATTACGTTTGAAAAATAAACGTATTGTATTTTTCACAAATTTAAGATATTGTTAAACATGGCTAGCTAACATACAGCTCCTGCTTTATTAGAACACATAAACAACTATTCTGACCAAATAATAAAAGGTGTTTATAGTAAAAACTTACAGTTTGTTCGGACAAATTGATACGAATGACATTATTGCCAGATGCCTTCGCCAAAGCTGTAATGAGAGTTGTTTTACCAACCCCTGGACTACCCTCTAACAAAATGGGTTTTGACAATTGCATAGCTCTCAAGACATGTAGAGCATTAAATCCAGTTGTGGGAGCATAGAAAGTGAAGTCATTAACAGATGGTTTATTTTTTCCTGTAACAAAATGATCTAACATCAATAACCTTATTGTTTTTAAAGGCAAAATTTAATTTTTTTAATTATGAATGGTAACATTCAAACAAATTCCTGAAAATATAGGACCAAAAACATAAATTCCCATCTCAAAAATCTTAACTCATATTTTCTGGTTTCTTACCAATGTCAATGAAAAATGGAGAAATTCCAAAATGTTTTTCTGTAGTCTTTGGCTCACCACTAATCAATTCATTCTTAGATAAGTTTACTTGCTGGCACAAAAACTTTAAGCATGACTCTTGATAGACTCTCAGATTTGACAAGCTGAGAAAAACAAAGAGAGAAAAATTAGCAAATTCTCACCTCTTGTAAAAAATAAAAGTAAATAAATAAAGATTGTTGGCATTAACCTTTCTGCACTCGTCACTCCAGATCCAAAACTGTCCAAGAATGTCAAACACGCACCATGAACATATGCGTTTTGAATATTCAAAGCAGATGTTTTGTTCTCTGTCACCACGTTAATAAAATTCACCCATGCCAGAATATCTCTTACACTCACAGCAAACCTAAATTATTACAAAGAAGAAGTAAGTAGTATCCAAAAAGAAGAGGGAAATATTCGAAATATTCTAGTAAAGGTACTTCTCACACCTTTTGCCTATCTCAGCTGCGGTAAACCACTGAATGAAGTCCATCATGCATGATCCCACTCCTGAGTTGTCTGGTTCTGCATTACCCAGGGTTAAACCAGGCCGCAAGTTATGCTCAATAATGGCCAACAAGTCATCACGATCATTACAACTCTGACACCATATTTCTGTGAATCTATTGCGCAAAGCTGGAGACAGCTGAAAACATACATTATTTATATTGTATTAAAACATTTGCAATAACACAATATAATGAAAACTTACATAAATATCTAATTGAAAGCTACTTACTTCCTTTTTACCATAATCACCTCCAGGATTCATGGTGCCAATGAAGAGGAAATTTTCTTTCGCAACTACTATTAGAGAAGTGTCTTGTGATCCATCTGTTCCCTTTTCAGCCAACAATAACGTACGTTCAGGTTCTGCATACAAAATCAGTTTGTGAGAGATTACAAAGATCTTTACACATCATAATGGGTCAATCTGTATTAATTTACAAATCTCTTAATATTCCTAAATTTTATCATGTTAAAATATTAACATGTTAGGGAAACAGTACATTATACATTATTCAAAGTTAGACAGCAGTTTCAGAGTTTAACTGAAAATTCACAAGGCTATTCTTACTCTATAAAGAAAATTAACTTACCAAGCAGAGAATTCATTCTCTCCAAGACACTGTCATCAGCCAGAGATATTTCATCAGCAAGGAACAAACCACCTTCCTGCATAGCCTTAATTAACGGTCCATCAACCCACTCAAACAATTTCTGTTTTTCCTGGAATGAGTACAATGTTGTTATTAAAATTTCCAAATTAAATCTGCCTAAGTAAAATCATCTCTCATCACTGCAAGAACACACCAATAATCCAACTTACTTCATTATGATCTCTAACAGGTCGAAGCCCACCAAGAAAATCAGCGCATTCTGTGTGCATGTGACAGTTGACACTAAATAACTTTTGTTTGTTTAGGGACGACAATAACTGACAAACTGTGGTTTTCCCACATCCTGTTTCTCCAACTAAAAGAACTGGCTCTCGGAACTGACATGACTTGCCTAAAAGTTCATAATATTTACATAGTTAAATTCAATGTTAAAAAGAATAAAATGAAATCCTCAAGAACATTCAAAACACTTTTAAAAACAAATTTAATATGATCATACCAACTAGAACTGCCAATCGTCTCATGTTGTATGTCCATACAATATGGTCGAAGCCCGGAACACTCGATGATACTACTTTTTCTAGAATCTCTCTTGTTACAGGTGAGGTGTTATCATTCACTGAAAAGGATATTAAATAGAACATCTATGTTTCATATCAAACCATGAAATAGATTGGACCAAAATGAAAACTTACAGGTGAACAGGGAGCAAGGGTCTACTTTTCTCTTAATGTGCTTCTCCAAAACTTTGGAAATCACTTCAGCTTCTTCAGATTTGCGTACCCGACCAGCAAGAACCAAATAGCCTTCATCAGCAAGATGTTGATCCCAATCGTAATATTTTGTTGGAGGTTGATACTTAGCCAATGTGTATCGTTCACCCCATCGAAAAAGGTCTCGCAAAGTCATAAAACCTTGCTTTCCAGCAAAAGCAGCACTACCTTTGCGATGCAGCTGTAAGACAAACATCACACTTACACATTATAATTATTCAAAATTACTTAATAGATAAATACAATTTGAAAATCAAAGTATAAACATTTTAAATATAAAATAAATGATCAATTTTGTACTTCAATTCTTATGAATTCTGTTTCTAAAAATGTTTAATTAGCTTTAACATAAAATAATTACCTGCAATTCTGTCATCACAGCCACTAATTTCTTGCAATAAGAAGCAGGCATCTGGCATCTTTTCTCTAATATAGTTTCAAGTTCCTTAGGGGGGATTTCAGCAAAATGTAATTCCACAAATCTATTTCTGAATGCTCTAGACAAAGTCTGAAATGCAAAGAATAGCATACTTAAAAATGGTCACTTCAGTTATGACAAAGAATCTGAACTTTCCATGAACATGTGATACATACTTTCCTGCCTCCATATAATCCTGATGGATTTTGTGTAGCAAATAACATAAATCGAGGATCAGCTTTCACAGTCTCCTGTGTCTCTGGGATATACAGTTCTCTATTATCATCAAGAACCCTGTTAAGAGCTTCCAAAACATCAGTTGGAGCAAGATTTAGTTCATCCAAAATTATCCAATGACCATTTCTCATGGCTTCAACTAATATACCTAAATAAATAAAAAAACAAATAAAACTTGCAGAACTTCAGCATAATATTGTTTGTCTCATGAAATTAAAATAATCTTGTTAAGCTAAATATAAAATATCACTATTTATTGAATGATATCAATAGAATATTTTCAATTAATATTGTGACTTACCTTCACGGAATACAAGACAACCATTTTCATCAGCAGAATAAGAACCAACATATTCTTGAATGTCGGTATGTTCATGATTGTTAATTCTGACACAATGATTACCTGATGCTTTAGCCAAGTATGTAATAAGACTTGTTTTCCCAACAGAGGTTTCTCCTTGCAAAAGGACTGGGTGATGACCAATTGCAACCACTCTCACCAAATCGTGTAAATTGCGGCGTACTGATGGCGTGAGAATGTACTGAAAAATCAAAACTACATTTCACAACACAATTCAGAGATTGATAGTTTTTTAACACACTTTTTTGGCCCAATTAGTTAAGCTTTCATAAATTTTCAACGTAGATGGATACAATTTTAAAACCAACTTATAGTATACAAAGCAACATCTATGATTAATAAATTAGCCTTACTCACCTTCTCAGGCACTTTTGGTTCCAAACTTCCCTGCAACACCCAGTAACCTTCAAAATTGACATATTGTTCATTATCATCATGAACAGGCTTAACCAATGGTTGTTTCAAAATGCTAGTCTTCCCTTTACTGAGAACAGTCCTGCAATACAAATTCACAATTTATAAAAATTCACGACATTCACACAAAACTTTCAAATATTCAAAATAAAAAATTAAAAGCTTACTTGGATATCATGTCTGTTACTTTCAGATGTGATGCATGATCCAACTGAGTCAAAAAACTCAGACACAACCCCTCATACAACGAACGTAAGACAGTACCACAAGGATTAGTTGCTGCTACTCGCAAAGCACGACACAAAGTTCTCAAGCTAAGGGTTAAAAAATAGCAAATCGTAATAAATTAAAGTCATAAAATCATATTATACCATATAAAAGCAAATCACAATAAAGATTAAATTCTGGGGGAAAAAAAATTGTTACCTATAATGTGGTTTGCCTCCAGTACCATCATTGAGATTTTTCGAAGCCTCTTCACGAACATTCAAATAAAACTTCACAATTTTTTCTATTGTATCTTGTGGAACAGAAAGCTGATTTAGGTACGTTCCAACCAGGAGAGAGAGGTCAGGAATTTCAGTCAATTCATCAACAAAAAATTCAGTGAACCTGTGAGGTGCAGTGTTCAAGATAAAAATTAACACACATAAATAAACTCAAATTTTAAAAAACACATCTAACATCCACACATTTCTGATTAAAAGGAAATTAAGAAATAACTCTTGATTCATGATTAATTTAAACATTTACTGCAAATATTATTTTTCTTCACTACTATGATCATAATTTGTATCACTACAATGACAGAGTTTGAACTTCATACTCTTAAAATACCTGTTTCTCAGACCAGCAGGTAGATCTTTCTTTCCAACATCAGTGGCAGGATTCATACAAGCAAATAAATGAAAATTACTATGTCGTTTAACAGGTTCCCTGTCACCTCTTTCCAACAAATATAAAGAAGCTGAAGATCCTTCAAGTAAGCCTGACAGACACTGAAGAGTTTCAGCCGATGCCAAATTAATTTCATCCAACAGAACCCAGTAACCTGCAAAAATATTTTCAATTACAATAATAATCTAAAATTCAATTTTTAAAATATGTAATTCAATGTGAAATATTATCTTAGAAGCACATTAAGAAACAAAAAGTAATCCACAATACCTTTTTGGAGAGCTTTTACAAGGCTGCCTTCTATAAATTTAAATGCCAATGCACTCTGTGCATTTATCTGGGATTCCAATTTCAGCAAACGTTCACCAAGAGCTGTCCACTTCTTATAGCGGAGTTCTTCTGAAGCATTATTTTCCAGTCGAGCAAGAGCGGCCTGATAACTCTGTTTCATAAGTCTGACTAAGAGGCTCCACTTTCGTTTGATGAAGCATTTCTACAACAATGTAATAAAATAGAAACAATTTGAAAATAAAACTAGCTGAAGTACCCTATATATCCCCCCCCCCTCTACCTTCCCTGCCCAATTCCATCCTCTCAACTCTGGCCAGCCATGTTTGCTATAATAATCATTGCTAGAGGCAGCTTTGTATTATTGCACACTCCTGGCAGACTTCCAGTACCCATTCCGACCTTCAATTACTCCAAGTCTAATTACGCCAATAGAATGAATTCAAATACATTTTGCAGAAAATTTCGTGGGCTTTCAGAAGTGTTCCATCTACTTTGCTGTATTTTCTCTCCATTTTCAAGATAGTCATGAAAACAGAAAGAGTACACATTTAAATTTAGCTTTAAAGGGGTATGACATACTAGGGTAGTTTTTACAAAATCTTGTTTTGAAGTTCCCACTTACACAACATTTTATTAACGTCAAAATACAAGTCTTGATTTGTATAAAAATCAATGAATCATTCTTCTTAATAATAATAATAATAATAATAATCTAAAAAAAACTAAGTTATGCCTCAAAAAATATACTATCTTCAATCCGAATTCATTTAGTCATTCCAGGTCAGCCAAGACAAACGAAAATTGTAAAAACAATTCAATGGTTTTTATATCAAGTAAATAACCACATGAGATTATAAAAGGCAATTATATCAAAGTGTCAGACACTGTTTTTTTATATTAATATTTCATTCAATTGCAAACAAAACAAAAAAGAGATGCATACAAATGGTAGCCATGACAATAAATTTATAACTTACAGCAATATTCTCCAAGAATTTAACATTACTCTCTACAGAAAAGTAACTTTTGAAAAGCTCTTCAAATTCTTCTCTGACTGGAGAGACAATGAATTTTAAGTCAACAGGTTTGTATCTGAAAGAAATGATCAAAACATTTTTTAAAAAGAAATGACTACAAATAATCAACATTTTATAAAAAGCATTGCTACAAAAAAGGTTTAATTGTTACCCGCCCAACAGATCGGAGCTGTCACTCTGTTGATTCATATTTATGACCAGAAGATGGTTGTTAGTTCGTTCAGCCAAAAACTGAACTACACTTGTCTTGCCTGTACCTGTTTCACCAACTAGAAGAACAGGCTCTTTGTATGATACACAACACAATACCCGCTCCAATAAACATGCAGCAGGGCGTGTAAATGCAAAACTTGATTTGTTCGTCCTAAAATCAAATCGAAGCAAAATAACACATTTTGCACATGAAAACTCCATAATCAATCAACAGTAATACAATATGATTCATTTATAGTACAAGTTTCAATTGTTTAAAAACTTCTCTAAGAACGTTAAGATCTTTAAAAGGATTTACTATGTTACTGCTGAAATAAGAATTTTTTTCTTTTCTTTTTTTTTTAATAAATGCTTACGTGGCAAAACTCCAGAGACTTGCTTCTTGTTTTGCAATAAATGCTCTTCCAGCAATAAACTTGTTGGGCATTGCATTAATGCTGGGTTTATAGGTCTGACAAAAGAACTCTGCTTTTGTCTTGATTACACCAAGGCAACTTGCTATAGATATAGCAAGTTTCAGTCTTGAACCTATGCAAGGGCAAAGTAACACAAAACTCATGGATATTAAAAATATTTCTCAATAGAATAATTTTCTTCAAAGTATAGTCCTGCAAGCACACTTTTTTGCTGTCCTTTGATATAAATGAGAAGAAAATTTAAAGCAAAAAAATTATAGCTGTTTTTGAGAAAATAATTGTTTAAAATTTCTCTAAATTTCATGCAAATTTACTTAACGACTCATATGTTCACAAAAGATATAAAATTGTGTCTTTAAAGACCAGATTTTATCAAAGAAAAAAAAATTCACTAATTAATATTGTAGTTGTAGGAAGACAATTTTGAACTTTTACAATTTTTGAAAAATCATGGAGCTCTACAAAAACAAGATTATCTTATAAACATTGTCTAAACTATTTGAGAATAAAGTTTATTTAATAAATTTGGAGCCTTTTTAAAGAAAATTTTCAAAATGTAATCAAGGTTTCATGTAAAGTAATCCCCAAAATATCCATTTCAAACTCACAGGACATTGACATTGATTGAGGAATAACAATGTTGGAGAAAATTGTCTGAACAGTTTATGTGCTAGTGTCAACTTCAGACGGACAGACAGATGTTTTGCCATCAAGTGGTTTTCAGTATCAAGGTGTATTTTTGTGTCAAAAAGTCTGTTGTTTTTTGGTGCCCATATACAATACTTTCATTACTTATTAAGTAAGGTCAGATAGTAAAAAGGATTTCTTTCTTCAATGTTAAACACATACCTGCATTAGCAACACTACAGCAAAAAATATCAATGCCATCCTGTAAGACTTTCAAAGCGGAATCAGCTTTACGTACATCAAATCCTTCAATAGCTCGCTGACACCATTTTATCAAATCCCTGTGATGAAAAGAAAAATTAATTTTGTCATTTCATTTTTGTTTTTCATAAAATTATTTCTGTCAATATGAATTTGAGGATTTTGTGGGGGGGAAATATATCAGTGGAAAGAGCAGAGAAGAGGGGAGGGGGGCATGACTTGCCCACAGTTAAAATATCTATATATTCTGATTTAAACACAGTGGCACTTCAAAGATTTGAGCAGGACAGAGGGGAACAATGCCATCTAGAGCTTTGTTACAACTTAAATAATTGGTATTGGAACTCGTGTTTGAACTGAAGGACAGTCACCCCATCACATTTCAGCTTCGACTTTAAAGTGCCACTGTTTTTCAATAGGAGCAAAGCTATATTGTTGTGCTTACCTGGTTGAAATTAATCGTCCACTAGCCTCTGTAACGTGTGTCTGATTTTCTATGGACAGGCCACCAAGGTCATCAATGGCAATGTCTTCAGTAGCATTAAGAGCAGACTGGTGACTTCCCGATGAAAATAGTAGGAAAACTTTTACCATCCGAGAAGCAACAGTCTCCAAAACAGGAAACTGAGTAGAAGAAAAAAATGTAATTTAAGATTAAAAGGGGACTATATTTGAGTTTACTGCAAAACCGAGTACAGAGGAATCTAATTTCCAGTAGTTTACACAAGATTCAGGGATCTGCTAAAAATAAGGTATGTTTTAGTTTTAATTTTTTTATTCATTCATTCCAGATATTATTAATTCACAATTAACATTTCATCATCAAATTATGAAGAATAATGGCAATTGCAGTATGGATTTCAAATTAATTTGATAATACCTAGATTTAACATTAACCTCAAATTGCAAGGAAGAAAGTTAATTTAAGCTTTGAAGATTTTTCTCCAATATTTTTTTAATGGTCTAGAATACAGAACTACATAAATAATGTATACTGACCATCGTCTGAACAACTTCAATTAACTCCAATTTTGATAATGGCTCCACATTTATCTGAAACCAATGTTTCTCTAGAAGACTTGACGAGTTTGAAATAGGCTTGTGAAAACCAGTGACTGAAGAAAGAGTCCTGAAATTGAAGATCAGACAGAATACACAAAACAGTTTCCACCAATTCACAATAATTTCAGCTAAAGAAATTGAATGTCTATTAATACAACCGATGAAACATGTCACCTTACTTTAATATCTACTTACACAAAATATAGAAATGCAAGATTGCAATATTGTGTCGGAAAAAAGAATCAGGTTTGTTCAGCATAGAGGGAAGAGATTATTATTCCAGAATGAAACTCTTGGAAATACTCATCTAAGACATTTAAATTCTTATAAAACACTTGTCACACTTGACATTTTGAAAAGAAAATATTTGAAGAGTGAATTCCGTGCATAACTTAAAACAACAATTATTTGAATTAAGATGCTATGAAAAAGAAAATGCTAGACATTATAGAATGACAAATTAGACTAGAATGTTATGAATGACAAACTTTCTGGGCAGAGAAACCAAACCAAAAATAAAAAGAAGAGAAGATTCTAATGAGAATTTTACAATTTTCCCCATTGGTATTTCACCAGTTAAAAATATCTTTGCAATCTCGCTGAGTTACATATTAAGAAGTTAACTTACCGTTGCGTAACAAAAAGCTGAAATCCTGGAGCAACTTTAAGAGTATCTTTATAGCCAGGAACTGACAATGTCCCCGTTTCCAATAAAGAAGCTACAACAGACGCCACATCCATGACCGCTGTATCAAAATCTTCCAGAAGTATCCAATACCCATTAATGGCAGCCTGGAAGACAATTTATCTTTTTTTAATAATGAAATTAAACAGAACATAATAATAAATATGAAAATTTATTTTACTATGACAATAGCAAAAATTATCCACAAATGTTCACAACATCCTATTTTAACAATGCAAATCTGTTTGTACTGAGAATAACAAAATTCAATGGTCTTTTGGATTGAATGTACTTCCCAATTGTTTTAGAGAATGGTAGAATACTAAGATGGTCTCAATTTGTACATAAGACAATTTCTTAAAAATGGGCGAAAAGTAGCACTGATTCACTTTTAAAGCACATAAACAAAATACTTTATACATAATATTAATAAGAAACATACAAGCTCAAAGCGTTCTGCAAGCCAATTCAAAAAACAAAAAATTTCATTCAATGCATTATATGATGACCATTGAGATCTTACTTGTGTTAAAACTCCAGGCTGCCAAACAAATTCACCAGGAATATCTGTACAACGATACGTTCCGAGTAACATCTTGCTGTCAATTTCATCCCCAAGTTGCACTTTTATAAAATGGGGAGGCTGTTGTTCTGTTGGCAAGGCACGTCCTACAAAACAAAACCAACAATGAAATTACAAAAAACTAGGCTAGAAACAAAAATCATGTTTTTTTTTATTTAAATCAAATTTATTTGATTTACTTATAGTCTTACTTAAACACTTTAAACACTTTTCTTGCATCCACATAACGAAATAAGCTTGAGGCACCGTATACTTGTACTACGTCGCAAAAAGGCATTCTTCATTCAAAGAAATTTTTTACAATTTTTTTTGTGCAATTCAATAACACGCAAAATTCTATAAATCTTTATATCTTTGTAATTGATTGAAGTATTATATCTGAGAAATATTTATTTCACAAATATTTAAAATTTAAATATAATTTCAATTATTACAAATAATAAATATCGATTGAAATTATTGATTTTTTTTAAAAAAAATTTAAAGCACATGATTTGCATCATACCAGCCTTACATTAAACCAAACAAATGAGATATTGGTATTTAAGTTTTGGACAAACATACACAGAATTCTATAAGAAAAATAGTATGTGAAAATTACCTGTCATGTGTGCCAACTGCTCAACTAATGCAGTTTTACCACTTCCTACTGGTCCTTGTAAACAAACGGCTTTATTGGATGCCACTCCCAATGCCAGACTATGGAGGTTGGACATTGTAGAAGAAACAGGAACAATGGAAAGCTCACCTGGCTGCAAAAGAATTTTTTTCAATAGAAACCTATCATCATGATGCACAGCTTAATTTTGTATTACAGAAAAACCTGTTAAAGCCAGAATCATTTGGGACCAACACTTTCTCCCATTTACAAATTAACCCATTATTCAGGTTTGCAGTAATAAATGTCAATTCAGAAAACGCAATTGTTCAAAGATTTTTTCCATAACTCTACAAGAAAATCGCAACACATTGTTGTGACAAAGACATTGCAACAGTTTTGTGAGGATTTGGAATATATTCCATAGCTTCAAATACTCCAATCAGCTTCCCTTCCCCAAGCAAATGATCGTGGATGGAGCATAGTGTGACCTCAAGAGGTGGATCATTACATTCAAAATATCCATTAATACAAGCCAAAAAAAAATTAAAATTGAAAAAATCTTAGCTAACATATCACAATGTATCATTGGATTTGTCCTCTAATGCTCATCATGACCAACTCTGAAATTAGTATGGTTCCATTGAGAAAAACGTTACCTCAATATCTCATTAAATACAAGTGATAAAATAGAAATGACTACATGTATTCATTAGCCCCATTCCCTAATGCACTTCTATGAAAACTGCATTGCAATAACTTCAATCATTCAAAAATTGCAGGAGGTGCTAAAGTTAGGTGAATCACCCTGTATAATAATGTTATAACACTCAAGATATTTTAACACACTGATTAAAGATTATCACTACACAAGATATACAACTAGACACACAACAAAAAATAAACACAAAGTAAAAATTTATCTTACACTGCCACAAGTTTTCAATTGAATTCCTGCCACAGTCACAAAATAAGGACATTTATACATTCGTTGAACATCATATGCATTTGAAGAAGAAGGTTCGCCAACCAACTTGAAATGAACAGCAGCTTGAAGATTATCAAACTTCAAGGAGCAAGATCTTATTGCTTCAGGAATCATAAACTGTTCTAGAACATGTTGTCTCACATAGTCATTCATGCCTGTTACCCAAGCAATACAATGACATGCAATCCTACAATAAAAGAATAGGTATATATTAGAACAATATTATTGAATGTCAGGAAAACACACATTTCAGGAAGTAGAACCATGATAACTCAAATATCAAGTGGAATGAAAAAATTAAAATATCACATTTATGAAAATCTATTGCGTAATTCATAACAAAGCGTAAGTTGGAACATTCCAAATATCTTAAAATTAAGAACATAAACACAAAACAAAACCAATTCAAGATGACGTTATTTGAATTACCACAGTATCAATAATCAAATTTCTACCACAAAATATATACAATCACCATGAAATAAGATCATCTGAATGTCCAAAATATAATTCCATGAACTGAGACCAATCCCAGATTTCCCTAAAATGTTCACATGATATCATAAGAAAATTGTAACATGCTACAACAACATCGAGATCATCTTTCTGATGATCATCATTAAATTTTCTTTTCTTGGGGGGAGTCTTCACATCCTGTCCAGTAGCAAATGGAGAGGGATGTTTCTCAAAATATTGCAAAGCAAATCTGCAAAAATAAATTACAAAAACATTTAGTTGTTATAGAAAAAATAAAAGGCACCAATACACAGGTAATATTCACAGATAAAACAGACATAGCATTACCAAGTACTAAATTCAATCATGATAAACAAAAATCCTAAGGTTGATTTGGTTCACAAAAAGCAAGTAAAATATAAATAAAAACAAATCAATAAACGATCAGCCACTTGTTACATTATGCCGTTCTGAAATGCACTATTGAACAACATCCAAAATTTTGTTTATTTTACCTGACAGCATCTGGGTGGACTCTAACAAGCTTTCCCAAGGCAATGCACATATATCTATGAAATACTTCTCCCTTATTGCGTTGCTCTGCACGAATAAGAAGCTCCAGTAGTATATTTGGGAAACACAAAGCAACATTTTCAGTAAATTCACGTTGCCACAGTAAATCAGAAAGATCTCGTAACAAGAATTTTCTATTAGATCCACTGAAGTCCTGCAAATACAGTACCAATATAAAATTATAAAAGAGTGTACTGTCAAAAAATAGACACAAGACAGGTTACGAACTGAACTGACAGTGTTATTATAATGCTTTGGAGAATGAATATTAGTATTTGACAGGTTAAAACTAAAGAGAAATGAAGTGCCTACAAGTATACATAACATAGTTTACATTACAAAGTATAAAACAACCTCCTTACCTCGAATTCTAGGTAACGAGCCAAATGATCTCTGGCAGTACCATCTCTCTTACACAAAGTTTCCAATCCTTCTCGAAGATTGTAAAATTTATCAGAAGTATCTGTCTTTGGACGCGACATCATCGCATCACTCAATTACACACTGTTAAGCATTTACTTCGTAACTAACCTCAATATTACACCAGCACATCTCTCACCACGCGGTTAGTGTAACAAACCGCTTTGACGCACGTGGAGCAGAGCGCAGAGCAGCCAGCACAGAACACTCAGCACGCCGGCCCGGCCGGCCAATCACAGACTCTCGACAGACCAGTCCAAACGAGTGAGAACTTGCATGGCAGCTTTGGCTCTGGTCGGCCACAGAACAATAAAGAATGACTTCAGTACCTATTCTGGTTGGACTTGACTGGTGCTCAACGACCAAATTTTGATTTTAAGTTACGTACATAGTGGTGCTGCAACAGCACATACTTTCTTGTATTATAGGTAAGGATTACGCGTATTACAATATCCCACTAGCATCAGCCATCGTATAAAAAACTCCAAACCAACTAAAGCGCCAGATTCGAAAAAAAAAGTGAAAATGAAAATTCTCTCTATCATTGAAATCAAATTATTGTGCTCTATTCTTACAGAAAGTATCAAACAAAATTTTCAACCAGGCTGCGCAGTTATCCGAGTGCTGCACACGAGAACCTAACTCTATTATAGTCCCGCTGCGTTACACTCCGGCCTCAGTTTCACAATGAATCCTTAATGTCGCGGCATTCCTTACACAAGTAACTCAAAATTACGCAAAAACTACTAATATTTTCAAAACAGTAAACATGAAATTATTTAGAGATGTAATATTAAGGAATGGTAAGAAAAAAATCTTTGGCTTCAATATTTATTTATTTTTGTTTATTAACTTCAAGGAACCTTGGTGGGTGATGGGTTAGCTTACTGGCCTCTGAACTCGGATTCCGGGTTCGATCCTGGATTTTCGAAGGTCAGAAAGTTCACTGTCGTACTTGTCGCACTTGTGGTAGGTAAAAGAAACCTTGCGGTATGCCCGGCAAAATTAAATCCCTCCGACAACATCCGCCCTAATGAGATCTAACTTCCCCCAAACAGTTCGATTCTGATATAGCGACAGACATCTGGCGGAGAAAGTGAGTCACATTCCAGGCGTATCAGGGGACAGCCCGAGAGGCGCGCCTGCTTGATAAAGACCCCCAAACCCAAGGTAGGCTTCTAAAGACGCCTGGGTCGCATATTCAGGGAAGGCAACGGAAAGCCACTGTGAATACCTCCTCCCAAGAAAATCCATTATGGGTCACTTAACGTCCGTCTATGGAAGATAGGACCAAAGAAGATTTAACTTCAAAAATAGCTAAAATCTGTGTGTGACACTATGGGGAGAAGTTTATTCTGTGAACAATAATGGCTAAACCGTGAGTAGGATTTCCTCCAAAATTTCCTGATTGATCTGACTCGCGGCTCTTTGAAACGAAATATTTTGAGTTTGGGGATACTTTACATGAAGCCTCAACATTTTCAAATTTTATCTCCAATTTTTTACTTTCCCGTATTGTACGTATTTATATAAATTATTTATTTCTATTGGGTACACGGGATTCTTAATATCTAACTTATCTATAAACTATGAACTTACAACTATTAGTATCCCTACCCTTAATTCTAACATTTACATTATGTACATTAGAGATCATTCTATTTTCGTGAGCTTTATAGTCTGCCACTTCGACTTGCCACTGGTTCTTGTGGGGTGCGGCATGTCGTGGCAAAGCGCGGCAATATTTGCTCCCCTATGATACACATGTGCATCCTATGTCGCACTTCACTCTCAACCCACTATAGAACCATCTGGAGGGGCACCCGCACAGCTATTTCTTCACAGGCACTATGGATGGTGTCTCTGCGGTGTACTTCAAGGCTGGGTCGTCCAGTACAAGTACAAGCACTCGGCTGAGACGTAGCTGCCACGCAGCGGAGTGGGGCGACACTCAGACGTGAATTGAATTGAATTGATGCCATATTTTACGTGGCGAGGCGTTTACTCAGGCCATGAGGCCTACTCTTCCATCTGACCACGCAAATTTCGCTACGCTCCTTTCACCAACTAGCAGAGAAAAAAAGGAGGTATTTTTGAAACAGACGATTTTTGAATTTAGCTCAGAGGAGTCATTTAGGCTTGAGGTTCTTTTATATGCAAGTAAATCTACTAACATGGGATGGGAACAGCTGGCTTTACTTCCCCTCCGAAGGAAGGCGTACGAAGGATTTTTTCGCCCTTAAAAATCCACGACGTCGATCGGGTTTGAACCCACCAACTTGGGCACAATAGTCCGATACGCTAGATACTAGTCTCATGGGCGAGGTTTTCATCCTCGCGCACGCAGCTCCGGCGGCAGAATTTAAAAGCACTTTGTGGATAACGGTGTAATTTTTTGGAGCAATCCAGCCGGGCGAATTTACACGCGATTCGTATGGACGAATTTACACACCGGCGGGCCAGTGTAGGCCCCGGACCGCAGGAAGTATGAAGAAGTTGGAAGTTCTTCCCTGTCCTTCCAGAGCCGACGCGAAGATGCCCTGCTTGTGTAATCCGTGGCATATTTTTCCGTACGGCGCCTGATAGAGATGCCTCCGGTAGTTGCAAGGGTGTTTTAAATCTGTCCTCTGTATTCGACCAAATTCCTTGCCGGGGGAGTAGAGGCATCGGCGACAGCGTCCTCAGTGCGTCTCCGGGACCCGATAGCGGGAAGCCCGCCTTCGCAGGCACAGGACGGTGGAGTGCTCACATCCCCATGGCTCTCGGAGGCACTGTCTGGCGCGGAGGCAGTAGCGGGGGCTTCGGGGACGAGGTCTTCGTTTGGCGCTATATCCAGCCAGCACCGTATCTCAGCAGCTATCTCCATCCCGCTCAGTATCGGGGGTGGCTGGGTCTTCCACATCCTCGCCCAGCCGCTGTCGTGAGTATGCAGGCCGTCAGTCTGGGGGCAGCCACTCGCGCTTGAGGCGGCGCGAGGAGATCCGAGCGCTGGACCAGAAGGGGGAATGTGTGATACTCCGCTCCTTCGCCCCGACCGAGAGATACTCCCACACGCGCGCATCTGCCGGTGCCACCTTAATTCGTTCCGTCTGTATCGGAACGCGTCTCCAAACTCTGTAAGGAGTAATCCTCCGTTAATAAGCGCCCTCTAGGGGCCGCTGTATTGTCTAGTCACGTCTGTATTGTCAAGTCGAGTCAGGGAATTGCCAGTATAGCGTCTTCGCGCTCGCGTCTAGCCAGAATTGGGAAGGAATTAGGATAGGAGTAGGGTATAGGACGCTTCACAGGGGTTGGACTAGCCAGAGTAGCGTCTTATCTAGCGAGTAGCCCTTGTGAAGCACGCAAACTCGTTTTGTCGTAACAAATTTCACGTATCTTCGGGGACTCTAAGAGATTCGAACGTGGAACCTCAGTGGTGAGAGGCAAGCGACTTCGCCACTGAGCCACGAGAGCGCTCTTCTGCGCGTCCCTCTACGCGGCCTCCTGGACAAGATCCGCACGCGCAGCTGGGCGCCTCCACTGGTGAGGATCTAGTAGGCGCAGTCCACGCTCCAGACACGTCGAATCCCCCTTCGTGGACCCCGCACCCCCGTTGTTCTTTGAGGCATAGATGACTGCATTCGTGACACCGATGGGGAGGGACAGCAGCTCGCGTACACTCGCCCTCACCCTCTTATCGTACTCAACCAGCATTTCCTTCTCGTATCTGTCCATACGTAGAGGAAAAAACAGGGACCGGCTGGACGAACTGCTCGAAGGCATCCATCTTCTGTCAGTCCAGAAGGGCCAAGAAATAAGAAATGAGAAATAAGATGTAAGTAACGGGTCTAAATGGATTCAAATAACTTGTGTGAAAAAACATAACTTCTCTCATATTGAAAATAAATAATTAAAATTTTATACACACATAAATAACAGTCTAACATATCACAACTGTCTACTTTACATGCAGGCATGCATGAAATGCGATGATCATGAGGGCGGTACCTGATGTACATAGAAAGTAGCGTTCTCTTCTACTAGAGGAAACTTTATATAAAGTGTAATCTAATTCATTTTACTTGAAGAGAAAATACTCCTGACAAAATGAATACTCCAATCATTGTTATCACTTTCAAAATTACACAATAGGCTGGTTGATAATGAAATCTCCCTCTACATTTTTTTTATTTCTCAACAAGTAGTCATATAAACTCATACAGGTAAGATGCTTTAAGTTGTATTGAACACACATTACATTTTACATATGTTAAACCAGCTCTTGTCTTTGGACCACTGTGTATTAATAGGAGGGAAGATGTGGTCTGTGTTAGCATTATGACTAGGGACTGAAAAATAAAATTCGCCAATTCTTAGTTCAGAATTGAATACAAGACTTGCAGTCTGAAATATTGATGTTATTAACTGATGGTATTAACTTCTCAGGGCCATCAGAAAAGTATTAACGTTGAAGATCGCAGAATTTATAACCAGCACAAGCAGACAAAAAGTTGTACAATATGCTATGATGTCGGGGACTCGAAAGTGTTGAAAAAAGTACAGTACACTTCGTATATTATATGTCAAGGTTGCATTTAAAACTAGTTTCCCCTTTCCAATAAAAACGAGGATATTTTATCCTTTCTTCTAAAATCCACCAGGACTGTTTCTCTTACTTCAAAAAGAGGACATGTCCTGGGAAAGGAGAATGTATTGTAACGAGTCAAGATAATCACAGACTTTCGATGTTCGTATGCACGTCCCACCTGTGTAAAAATGATATGGCAGATACCATAGTGACAGACAAGACACCCAAAAGTATAAAAAAAATCAATAATCACAATTGGAATGAACGTCTTACCAAAGGCAGTGTGATATATGGTCAGGTGGACGACGAAATTTAATGAACTCTTGATTCAAACAAATATTTTACATTAAACAAAATTTTATGAATGTGAAAAAAATTACATTTGTGAAATTTTTGAAAAAACACAAGAATACCCCAAAATGAACTTTACATCATATTAAAGAGAAGAATTAGCACTTTCCGTTCGAAATGTTTGAAGAAAAAGGTCTAGTACTTGTTTTTGAATTTTGATCATTTTAGTAGATTTTGCTCAATATTGCGTACAATATGTGCAGTTTTAAAAATTTACAAAAAGATTTTCTCAAAAACGGCTTCAATTTTTTAGATAGATGGAAGATTGTGCCAGGAAGATTTAAGAAGTCAGAAAAGCTAGTCCACACAAAATGACTTAGAAAACTAATACGGAAAAGTCTGT